ACCGCGCCCGGCCTGGAATTCTCATAAATTGTTGGTAGGAGTGTAAACTGTTACAATAACTTTGGACAGTGACAAGGAAACCTCACATAAAATTAAATATCTAATTAGCATACCACTAGTAATTCCACTTCTAGGCTTTTGCACAAGAGAAGTGAAAGCCCATGTTCACAAAAAGACTTGTACATGAATGCTTATAGTAGCTTTATTCATAGTAGTCCTCAAATGGAAATAATTCAGATGTTCATCAACAGGTGAACAGACAACCAAATAGTAACTTATCCATGCAACAGAATACTACCGGGTAATAAAATGGCGCAAGCTACAAATGCATGCAACAACATGGATGAATCTCCAAAACACTGTGTTGAAAGAAAAAAGCCAGATACAAAAGATGATAAACTGTATAATTTCATTTATATGAAGTAAAAGAATAGCCAAAAATAATCCACAGATCAGAACAGTGATTATGTCTAGTGGGATTGACCGGAAAAGCAGGCAGGAGGGAACTTTCTGGGATGATGAAAATGTTACTTATTTTGATTGGGGTGGTGGTTATATGAGGACATACATTTAATAAAACTTAACAAACTGTGTACTTAAAATTGGTGAATTTTGTTCAAGACCAGCCTGGCTAACATGGTGAAACCTGTCTATTAAAAATACAAAATTAGCTGGCGTGGTGGCAGTTGCCTGTAATCTCAGCTGCTTAGGAGGCTGAGGCAGGAGAATCATTTGAACTTGGGAAGCGGAGGCTGCAGTGAGCTAGGATCATGCCACTGCATTCAGCCTGGATGAGTAAGACTCTGCTCTCAAAAAAAAAAAAAGTGAATTTTACAGTATGGAAGTTATAACTAATAAAAAAGAATATTAGGGACTCGGCGCAGTGGCTCACGCCTATAATCCCAGCACTTTGGGAGGCTGAGGTGTGTGGATCACAAGGTCAGGAGAGCGAGACCATCTGGCCAACATGGCGAAACCCTGTCTCTACTAAAAAAATACAAAAATTAGCTGGGTGTGGTGGCACGGGCCTGTAATCCCAGCTACTTGGGAGGCTAAGGCAGGAGAATCGCTTGAACCAGGGAGTTGGAGGTTGTAGTGAGCAGAGATCATGCCACTGCACTCCAGCCTGGCGACAGAGCAAGACTCCATCTCAAAAAAAAAAAGAATAATTGGAAGGATGTTAATAATTTGACGGCATTTGTTTCTGGGGAGAGACAGAAGGATTGGGAATATTATTTAGGGAAGAGACTTTTTACTGTATTTACTTTATACTGTCAGGATTCTATACCAGACACATATTTTTCTTTTGTTGAGGCAGGGTCTCGCACTATCATCCAGGCTGGAGTGCAGTGGTGTGATCACTGCTCACTGCAGCCTCCACCTCCAGGGTTCAAGCAATCCTCTTGCCTCAGCCTCCTGAGCTGCTGGCCTCCCGAGTTGCTAGGACTACAGGCGTTTGCCAGCATGCCCAGCTTTTTTTTTTTAAGATTTTTTTTTTGTAGAGATAAGGTTGCCCAGGCTGGTCCTGAACTCCTGGGTTTAAGAGATCCTCCTGCCTCAGCCCCACAAAGTGCTGGGATTACAGGCATGAGATACTGCACCAAGCCTAAGCTATTAAGACTATAATCCCAGCACTTTGGGAGCCTGAGGCGGGTGGATCACGAGGTCAAGAGAACGAGACCATCCTGGTCAACACGGTGAAACCCCGTCTCTACTAAAAATACAAAAAAAAAAAATTAGCTGGGCATGGTGGCCCAGCCTGTAGTCCCAGCTACTCGGGAGGCTGAGGCAGAATTGCTTCAGCCCAGGAGGTGGAGGTTGCGGTGAGCCGAGATCGCGCCATTGCACTCCAGCCTGGGTAACAAGAGCAAAACTCCA